TGTGCTTTAAACGTGATATAAAAAACATTCAGTTTACATTTATTGCATTTTTCTGTTAACAATATATATACATTTATTAACTTTTATATTTTTATGCACAATTCACACATTAATCCTTAAATGTGCATTGCGTAAGCAATAAATAATTGAATATATAGTTTCAACGTTGAAAGCTGTGATTTTCCATGTAGTTATCGCATAAGAACATTTATCTGCGCAAATAAAAATGAAGTCGCAGCTTATGTAAAATGGGCAATCAGAATTATTTATCGCAGTTGTGTTACAATTTGTGTTAATACATATTGACAGCAGTGGCAACTTAAATAGAAAAAAGTTTGTATTTATCAATCAACAAATGCCAAATGGTCAAATAGGAAAAACAATCAACAAAATTACACATCAAACATTTTTTAAGCCGGTTTTTTTTTTTTGACAACAAAACGAAAATCACTTACAAAATAATCTAACTCGTTATGAATTCTACGGAAAAATAATATTTTCATTGAGTGTAATATTTGTTTGAAGATTAAAAAGAAAACACGGATTGGAATACGAAGAAGAAAATAAATTTTCTCATTTTCAGCTAAACAATTATGGGCTCAGTTGGGAAATGTAAGCAAATCCTTCTGACTATTATATTAATTAAGTCTTGACAAGAGTACTGGAGCATATATAAAGCAATTTATTCAGTTTTTCTCTATATATGTATATATGTATATAGAAAGAGAGAGAGAGAACACCGCAACTTTGACATTTAAAATGTTTCCTACTATCAATTAGCATATTCATGAAATTGTACAGTGCTTGTCAGCTGGAGAGTGCAAATGAGTATCTGTAAATGTTGACAACGCCTCGCAAATGTAATTGTAGTAATTGGGAAAACCCGAAGCACAAAGGCCAATTCATTAAAATAATATAATTAACATGTAATCAGAGCAGTAACGGCTTTGCTGTTGCGTCATCCCGTAAATATATATATATTTGTTTTTTCCTTTCTTTTTTTTTTGAAATGGAATACTGCAAGTGGAATATATTAAATTTTGCAGCAGGAGAGCTGTTATTATACCGCCATGTGTGCGTGTGCTTGAGATGACTCTTAAGATAAATAATTGTGTAATAAGAAACAATAAAGTTGAGACTGTAAAATCAGCTGCATAAATCAGCACTCTCTCCCTCTCTCTCTCTCTCTCTCCCTCTCTTATTCCCTAACACCCCTGCCTCACTCTTCATGCCAGCAGCAGCTCGAGCGTGTTGCGAGTCGAGCTAAATGGCATATCAATGCGTGATTACGTATACGCCGCCTGTGCGCCACAATAAATTGGGGACATTGGACAGGGGTACTGGACCTGGTTGGGTTTATGTGTTGGATGTTGGATGTTGGGTGTTGCTGCTGCTCACTCGCTTCATTATGCCGAATGTCTACGTGCACTACTTATTTATGAAGTGATGGCGCCTTTATTTATGCTATTGCTGCGAGTGCGAAGCCCTGGCAACCATCGCCTGCGCCCGTTTCCGCGTCATCAGTGTCTGTGCGGGACAGTCAGAAGAACGTTGTATATAAAATACAGAAATAAGTGACTGCAAGTGTGTGTGAATGTCTGTGTGTGTGTGTGTATGTCTGTGTGTGTGGGCGTATGTTAAGCGCGTGGTGCTGTTGATAATGAGAAAGGACGCTGGTGTGAAAGTCTACCTCCTGCTGCTGCTGCTGCTGCTGCTGCTTCTGCTGCTTCTACTGCTCTGCTGATGATGTTTACGTTTGAATAATTTATGACACAATAAAAATGAAAAAAAAAAACGAGAAAAACCAAAACAAAATGCGTGGCAGCCGCATTGCAATTGCCACAAGGTGCACAGAAGCGCTACTATGGAAATGCCATTTACAATGTATATCCTGGCGTACAGGAGTCAAGCAGTCGCTTTTATTAATTTCAAAAAAAAAGAGAAAAAAAAAAGAAAATGATAATTGGCTACACGTCGTCGAGACTAAAACTGACAGACAAAAAGGATAGACAGCTTAGGCAGTAGCTTTCCGTTGCCAGGATTCTGTGTAGGATGTGTGTGGGCGTGCATCAGTTTTTGTGTGCTGTGTTGTGTTGTGTTTGTTTGTGTGCCGGTTAGAAATCAGAAACAGTCGCGAACGGAAACTGTAGCTAAAAGTTGAATAGCATTGCGGCATAGTGCACAGCGAAAAAAAAGGGAATATAAATTGCCTCTTAAATATGGAATAAGTGCGCAAGAGTCGACAACAAGCACAACAACAAACATGCACATAGATAAACTATATAGCCTGCTGGCCAAGATAAACACACACAATCGCACACAATCGCACACACTCACACTCACACACATAGAGTTCTACTGACAAATAACTAAGATGTATCCGTTTGCACAAAAAGCCCTAAGTAGCTGAAACCGTTTTATGGAGCGGCTTCTGTATGATAAAGTCCAAATGGGCGGTGCCTCATTTGTGGGTGTGGTGGTGTTAGTAGCTTTGTGCGGCACCACCTTTTCAAACGTTTTTGTGCTCATTTGCTTGGCACGTTTTTCTTTGGAATGAATGAAAATGCTTTAGCAAGCGAAACGCAACCGAACTGAGCTCAACTCAACGCAACTCAACTCAACTCAACTCGCCTCGACTCATTTGGCAGACAAATTATTCGATTCAAATTTTTTATTAAAGCCACACACGCTGGCCACATCAAGCAAATGAATTCGGTGGTGCGTGCACCACATCAAAAGCTTATTTAGATTTATGTTGCCCAATCGACAAAATGAATTTTCAGTTGTACTGCAAGTTACTGTAATAATTTTCCGCATCGGTATTTCGAACGTTTTCATTTATCATTGGATCCCTTGAATTCGATTCGGCATTAAAATGAATTCTCCAAATATGGCATACATTAAAGTGAACCAATTGATTTGTGTGCGGGAACGAGATGGGGGAATGGTTTACGAATGTAAAATTCATTTCAAAGTCATCAAATGTAAGGCATTTCCGTAATTTATAAATCCATTTAAGCATTGAAAATGTGCAATGGTTTGTGGATATTAACATAAAATGTGGATGGAGGCAGAAGCAAACCCTTTCACAACCCTTACTCAGTTTCCATTGGAGCTATTTGGAATCACTACTTTACTGCCAGACAGTTCACCAATACATACTTCATGCGAATTTCTCCTCAAAATACTTTAAGCTCCTCAAATCTTTTACGTAAGCGTGTTCAAAAATTATGCAATAAATGTGTAGACGAAAAGAGATTATCAATCTGAAAGTCAGCTTAAGGCACTTTTCACAAGGTGCGATAATTTTCGACAGACTGAGCGTATGTGTAATGCGGCACAAATTAAATGCTACAAATTGTCTAAGCTGTGCTATATAAATTCTATATTGCTCTAGTGAACAATGGGCGTTCACACAAACACTGGAACAGGAGACACGAAAAAATGCCAAAATTGTTTGGCGTTGGTAATTGCTCCTCATCGAAGATTCAGCTGCGGGCATTTGGCTCAGCGTTGATTATCGCGCTGTAGCGTAACAGGATACAACAGGATACAAAGAGATGCCTCTTCGTTGAGGAACAACAGCATTAACACCAGCTCAGCTTAGCAATTTGCACGTCAAGTTAAAAAATGTTGTTGTTACAAAACACAAAACATAAAGACACAAAGACTCAGCCAAGATTCTGTTCTCTGTCTGAGGGGAGACAGGGAAATGACACCTCTCACGACTTTAGCTATGACTGGCCAAAGTTGTCGCTGGCAAAGATACGTTGAGGCACACACTCACACACACACACACATATGTGAAACATGCCGCTGGCATTTCGACTTTCCTGGCCTTGCCTTGCCACTTTTAGGTGGCACACAGAACAAGAACAGAACACTGAACACAGTAAAAACAAAAAAAAAATCACATTGCACATATTTCAAGCAAAAATTTCAATTAAGACTTTTACTCTGAATTCATTTTCAGTTTTTTTTTTGTCTGCCCGCCATTTTGTTTGTTTCTCTGCTGCTTCTGCTGCTGCTGCTGTCATTGCCAACATTGTTGTTGTTGTTGTTGGCTAGTGGCGCCCTTTTGGAACCTTTCCCGCTGGGCTTGTGTGCGTGGTAATTGTTGTCACGTTATAAGCGAAGCAAAAATACTTTTGTTTTCAACCAAACGGATGCAATTTTAATCTGTCGAAATGTGCCAGAAATAAAATGACTGACAGGGACAGATAGAATGAGAGAGAGAGAGAGAGAGAGAGAGAGAAAGAGAGAGATAGAGGGAGGAGACGTTGATGAGGAAGAGGCCATGCAACCGCATTAAATATTGACTGCTAAACCGCAAATATAAATACAGCTAAACGAGACGACCACGTCGAAGAAGAAGAAGAATCAGAAGAAGAAGAGAAAGCAGCAGCAGCAGCAGCAGCAGCGCAGCCAGCCACACATAATATTTTAGTTTTTGACCCAAAAATGTCAGTGGGACATGAGTTATTACAGCTGCCCGTCGACGCCGCCATTGCTGCTGACATCAACGTGTTGTAATTGTTGTTGTTGTTGTGGTCGTTTTTGTTGTTTTGCGGTTGTTATTTTAGGCTTGCAGGTTGCTCTTTCGCTTCAGCATCAGCTTCAGCTTCAGCTTGCCTGTGTGTTTGCCAACAGAAACATAGAAATGTTCGCGTGGGAGAGCCCAAGGCGGCCGTCTTCGTGCGTAGCTCGCGAGCACACACGAGCGAGCACGAAGACTAACACACACACACACACACACACGCACACACGCACACGCATATACATAGATATAAAGCTTTGGCTCAAGGCGCGCTCAGAGCAGACACTGGCTGCCATCGCTGTCGCCTCTTGAGTCCTTTGCCGTGGCGACGACTGTCACTTTACAAGTTCAAAAAAAAGAAGAAGAAAAAAAAAATCTGTTTCGGGGCGTTTTTTCACTCCGCCCACCCGAACGCCCGCCTGCTTGAGTTGTTGCCTTTTAGCATGACTTATTTTGTGCTCACCTTACGTGCTTGGGCTTTTGCTTGTGCCTCAGCTGCTGCCGCTGCCGCTGTCGCTGACGACGACGCTGCCACCAGCAAAGCTGCTTAATCGTCTTTGTCCTTTTTAACTTTTGCGCCGCCAATTTTGTTGCTGTGTGCGCCTTGCTTTGCTGCTTGTGCTGCCTTTTTCTGTGGTTTTTTTCCACTCTGCTTGCCAAACACTTTCAATATTTTTTCCCTTTTTCTAGGTGCGTGTGCGTGTGTATATTGAAATATTGTATTTGCATTAGTATTAAGTAGTTACACAAACACATACACACCAATGGCACCTATAAACCACTGTGTAAACTGTGTGTGTGTCTCTGTCTGTATGTGTGTGTGTCTCTGTGTGTGTGTCTCTGTGTGTGTGCGTCTCTGTGTATGTCCTTTTTTGTATTTGTATGAGTTTGTTCTTCACTTTTGCTTTCGATTACTTGTGCGAACGCAGCAGTATTCAACAAATTGTTCGCGCTCGCCTCTCTTCACAGCTTTAGCTCACACACACTTTGGTTCATGCTGATGCTGCAGCTTCCTTTTACAGTTAATTGAGCCGCATTCGCATTGCGACCCTCTTGCACATATCACTATTTCTTTCTTTCGCTCTTTTTTTTTTGGCTCCGAACTCACTAACTCACTAATTGCCGCACGTCTCACTATGTTTTATGGAAAATTGTGTTTTGGAGTTTCTTTCTTTGTAGCTGAAAATCCTGCTGTGCGCTCCTTTAGTGATTTTATCCGTGCGCCGTGTCCGTTTGCGTGCGCGTTCGCTCTGGATCTGATGCGACGACGATGCTTCGACTCTAATTGCGTTAAAATATTTCTGCTCCCACAACAACAGCAGACTCGCAGCATCGTCTACAACAACTACAACAACAACTACAACAACTACAACAACAACAACAATGATAGCTTACTGCTCTCTTCAATTCGTTTGTCTCTTGTGTGAGTGCGCCTGCTGCTGCTTCTTCTTTCAATTCGCACAGTTCAATTTCAAGTTGAAAACTTTTTTGAAACACTGTGATACAGACACACACACACATGCAAAGTTCGACTTTGACTCGTCTGCCTATTCCTCGTTGCCTTTCGCACTTCAATGCGACTGTGTGTGTGTGTGTGAGTATGTATATATGTATACGATATAATTTTGCCAACTCGCCATTGTTGTTGTCATCCAGCTTCGTTTGCGAGAGCATCGTTGCTTTTACACATTTCAAATTTCGGCGCAAGCTCAGTTTATTGTTGGCATTCACTGTTGTTCTCATTTCACTTGTTATTACTGTTGTTGTTGCCTCAGCTGCTGCTGCTGCTGCTGCTGCTTCTGCTTCTGCTGCTGTTGATGCGCTGGCATTTCCACACACACACAAGGGTCCTTGTTGCGCTCAGCATCCATGTTTTTGCTCACGCTCCCACTGCTGTTGTTGTTGCTGCTGCTGCTGCTGCTGCTGATTTCTCGCTGTTACACTTCGTGTTCTGTGTGCTCTCGTTTCCCAGGCCCGCGAGCATAACGAGCGACTCAGCTGCCAATGTTTGGCGCCTTTGGGCATTATCGGCACATTAGAAACGTTTATCTTGGTATTAAAATAACAATAAATGCTATTTGAAATTTTTTGCCTAATGGTTGTAGTTATTTTATATCTTCAAAAATATATACATTTTTTTTCAACATTGTGCTTTGCTATTTGCTATATATTTATTTACTTCGCAGTGTGGTACAGTTGGAACTAAATCAACTAAATATTTGCCCATAACCAGGTTGTAACATTTTTGTTTTAACTGTATTTCAAATATGTTATGTTAAATTATAACGCTAGAATTAATATAGGTTCACTATTGCATTTTTTTGTGTAAAACTTAATTAATATTTGCAAAAAGCACCCAGTCAGACAGCAAAAGGGGATTCAAGTGTACATACATCTTTATTTTTATTTATTCTTTACGTACTTACTACACTTTGGTTGTGAAGTCCGCCCCTGGGCGCTGCTCTGCCACTCAGTGCCATTGTTGGCTGTGCTCCATATTATATGCACATGTACACTGCCGTAGACACACACACACACACCCACATACATACATATATATACATATATTTTTCGCATACCATCCTGGCTGACTGGCGTTTGTTGTGCGTCGTTCCCCTTTTGTTGACGTTGGCTGCTGACTCTGACGTTGTCGTTGTCGTTGTCGTTGTGGGTGTGGATGCGGCTGTGGTTGCTTTTACTGTTGTTGAGCACCTGAGTGATGCTCTGTTGTTCTTGTTGCATTTTGCGATTTTCCATGGCTTGCTGTCTGAAGTGCAAATTTGCTTAAATTATTCCGGGGCAACCGTCAGCGGCACCCACTGACACCCAACAAATAGAAAACACCGCTTCACCTCCAAGAACAACCCACAAAATCGGATGAGGATACGACCGTTAGTGGAGCCGCTGACAACGACATCTATTTTGGCCCGCGAGCAACTTTTTTTTCCTTCAATCCTTTCCCTTCTCGCAATGAGAACAGTGGCTGCATTCTATTTGCGCATCCCTGAATCGGGCAGGGATACTTATCGGGTATTATTTGAATGGCGCACAAAGTAGTGTAGCGTTTCCGACTAAATGTGTTAGAGATAAGATTTTTTCATAGTCCTTACCCTTTTCGAACAATACATTTTCAGTGCATGTGTGGTCAGTGTAGTTCCTACCCCATGGAGATGAATTCGTGTCAGATATGTGTATGAATAATTTTTTCTAAAGACTAACATGTTTTATTTACTTATGGGGTGCCTTACCTTATCCTTAAGTCAGGTTAACCATGAGTGTAATATTCAGGACAATTATTAAGTATACGTGCTGTATGCAGTGTATATAAAATTATTTAAGATCAGCACTTGTTATTCCTGGGTTGTTTTTAATTGTTAGTAGAGTAGAGTTTTTATTATAGTGATAATTATACAGTATATATAGAAATCTAAAGTATTTAAATGCTGTGTAACCATCTTTTAATGTATATCATTTACTTACTTATTAGATAAATAATTATAAAACTGCATTTCATCAAATAATAATTTAGAACGTCATATAAAATAATGCCATAGTTGGTAACCATCTATAAAGAGATTTGTTGCTCATCGTGAGCAAGAGCACCCGACCATCCACAGCAGCCACTTTCTTTCATTGTGTAGTGTTTGGCTGAAATGTGGCTATTCGCATCCGTAACTGTGCCACCGACGGACATACACCCACAACCATCGATGTTGCCGCATCCGACAGGGTCTGCTGTGTCCACATTGGTGGCATCGTTGCCGTCGTTGTCGTCGTGTCCTATTCGTGTTTGACGTTTGATATTGTTGGCATTCGATATTGGTTGTAATTAGCTTTAATTGAAATTGCTCCTTTGCCATTCACTAGCTTCGTGATTTGGGTTTTAATGTGCAAAGTGTGTGTGTAATTTTGTCAAAGTTAATTTATGGTCACCGCTGCCCCACTTTAGCAGTTCAGTGTACGGCGTACATCAATGAACTTATCCGTCCATTTTTTTTAGAATTTCGTTTTCGCTTTTCGGCTTATGGTTTTTAATTTGATTTTTTGATTGAGATGATTAGAGGAAACCCAATTAAATAAATGCAGTTACTGCTTCGGTTAGTTTTCTGTTTTATTTACACAGTTCGGTTAACGTTGCTTGAATGTGTATTCAGTTGGATTTTAAATAGTAACAAATTTAAATTGCATTTAAATTTAAAGAGCGTAGGCAAATCAGATATGCAGATGTCGTTGCGGTTATGAACGTAAATATTTCATATAACCACGGATACATGAGCGGAGATGTGCATTTCTTTTGAGCAAGATAATAAATACATTTTTATATTTAGCAAAATACGCTTCTCGGCAATAAAGTCGTAAGTTTCTGAGGTTTATTCTATTTAGAATGTTCTTGAAATCCTATAATAGATATTATGGTATAATTTCAATTATGTTACATAATTCACGACTGTCTTCAATAACATACTAAATTTATAATTTACATTCACTTTGTGAATTTGGTTCACTAAATTTGCATGTTGCTGTTAAGCTAGTCAAGCCAGTTGAATTAAAACGCAATGATAGGCATTGTAATGAGTTTTAATTCCTTTTAGTCACATCATAAATCAAATAGAGACAATTTAGTCATAAAATACAATAATGGGAGTTTCAGTTAATTTGATATTTAAATGAAAAATGTATTTACGGCACTGAAACTAGATAATGCAGTCATAGATCTAAATGAGTCATGCTTTAAACATTTAATCTATATATCATTTATTCATACTCTGCTCGCAGCTCTCAAAGAGAATTCAAAAGCGCACTTACTTTTAGCTATTGACATAAAATTTAATGTATATCTGTCAAAACAATTTTAGGTTTTTGTTATCAGTCAATAATAGATAAAGTGAATCATTTTAATAACTTGGAATACAACAATGTAAATTTCCATTCTGATTGTAGTCCCATTGCCAAATCCAATTCATACGTCATATGATATGATAATTAATGATAATTGTACAAAATCGTTTGCTTACCCAAGTTGAAGTGGAAGAATTCCGTCTGCGAACGTCATTGCACAAAAAGGTCCGAAGAGTACATAACAAAAGTACGTAAAGCAATTTGGGTTCGGATATATTAGAGACTAGTTGTCAAAAGAAACTTTTATCGTAGCGTACATGATTATTTTATAGCTCATTGATAAGTAACTTTAATAAAAAATATATAAACTAAATATATGTATATACATAATCTAATTGTTATATCTTTAAAATCGCTCAATATGCCAATAGTTAAGATTAGGTAAGCAAACAAAAAAATTATATTGGCATCAACTACCAAAAACCTATTTTGAGACATGCAGTCTGCAGAAACCAGTTTAAGTATTAAGTGTTAATAAATTATATTACTATCTTGGATACCATGGGACGTGTAGACTTAAGAAATACACGATGAATATGTCAAAATAAATAAACGACTTCAGATTATTAGTGCATATGAAACCAGTTAATATCCATAACAATATCAACGAGGTAAATGGCAATGACCAATCCCTTTTTCAAATAAACTATAATTAAACCAAAAATTACTCACCAAATTGTAGGTCAGTGTGTGAGTTTATGTGTGTATTTAATTATTAACTGTAAAATGTAAAGATGTGCAAATCAGCATTCAGTGAAAAATACAATTAATAAATAATAAATATTATTAATAACTTCAATCCCTATGAATCAAATAAATTGTTTGACTTTGATAACAAAATTTAAGCGTAAATCTGCAAACATTTTCAACTTTCAATTGCAGCTTTTTGAACTGAACTCCATTAAAATGCAAATATAAATATAAAAAAAAGAACAAATTTGGAGCACTGCACTTAAATATTTTTTTGATAAAATGTTTGAAGGCAAACTAATTGAGTACGGTCAACAATGCGAAAAACAATCTAAGCCATCAATCATTTTTATTGCATACTTTTGCGTATCATATATACACATGTATATATGTAAACGTATCTGAATATACTCGATAAGTTCTGAGCCAATATTTACTTACTTTGACTACTACAAATGCCGAGCTTGATAATCGCTTTAATGCAGCCACTCGCACATGCTTGTGGTAATAAATAATTCTTCTTTGCTGTTGCAAATAGCCGACGAATTTAATTTATATACCTAGAATAATATATGAAGGTACGTGATGTCTTGAATTTATGCAGCTCGTAAATGTAATAAAATATATAAACGTATTATTTAATCATATAAGGTAACTCATTGATTTATATGCACCCAAGTGATTCGCACGCCTATCCAAATCAAGTTGCAAAGATATTCCAGCCGAAGACCCAAAACGTCGGCTTCTCTTCGGGCACGATCCGAAGAGCTGTGATTGAGTTAATCGCTGCGATTCGATTCTTATTCATTGTGCGAGTATTCGTATTCGGTCATGAATAAGTGCGAGTACTTACACTCATACAAGACAACATTCGCGATATTTGACTGGCGTTGAGTATGTGTGCATATAAAGAGCTGAAAAGAATTTGGAGCGATTTAGTCTTATTAAAAACGGAGCCACGCTCGGGAGTCCGGAGTTCGTGGATCGTTATCAAACTGAGTGAAGCGATTGTCAACGCGTTTCTGGCAAAAAGTACAAATTTCTGCAATTGTCAGACAGTACATTGATAATAGTTACAATCTGACACATATTGCCGAAATTAAGAAACCATCAAATTTCCTGCTTGACAAAAACTCAAAAGTAGGTTCACTCCATAAGTGATAAGCGCTCGTTTATTAACCCAACTCAAGTTTAAGTTCAAATATTTGTTCACAAAATTGTCGTTGGTAAAAATAATACGAATACTTTATTTACATTTTTATGCGTGTTGCTGTTCGATTCAAAAATGCAAATTGCATTCGTTCATTTCGAAATGAAAGACAAGTGTACTTGAATACGTTCATATTTTACAATATATACGAATCTGTTAAAATGTTTCACTGCAATTCTATTGCATTGATTTCACACAATTACAATTAAGCTGTAATAGCGAATAAACAAATTAAATTAATTCTAGCACATATATAATAGGTGAATTCTAACGGAAGTCGGTTCATCGACATTACAGTATATATATTATTTTATTTACTCGTATATATGAATGTAAAACCGGTTTGTGATATTTACTCTGATACTTTTTAGTATGATTAGTTGACATATTTTATAATTTCTCATTGTGGTGCATCGAAGTTCACACAATATTATGACTGAGTAATTACATTCATGAAAGTGCGCAGCTTTTACATGAATGCCGAGCAAAAATCGGGTTTTCAAGTTTAAATAAAATTTTATATATAAATTTGAACGAAAACTTATAACAAAATTGTAGCATGACTTCTGAAATAATCTTGTTTCACAATCAAATTGAAGTATTAGGCATAATAAAAAATGTATCTCTTTTAAAAATCGGTTAAGTTTCAGTTTTTGTATTATGGGTGTGGAAAACTTGGAGCCATCCATTTTTTTAAAGATACAGATAAAAAAGTAAAGTGCGTATTGCTTGATAATTGTGCGACAGCAAGAACAGTAACAATCGGAACAACAAAATTGTCGATAATAAATAATTAAAAAATCATATCAATTTGGTGAATATCAAATATCAGTAATAACCGTGTCATACAACAGCCATTAGCCATGTTAACCTGTTTTTTTCAGTCAAAGGCGCTGCCATTGTTTGTATAAAACGTTTTTTTTATGGTAGTCACGGAATTTTGTTTGTTTGTTTTTGATTTCTTGCGTAGAGATATACACTTAACCATATGCAATCAATTTAATACATCCGGCCAGACTATAGACTCAAAAGCCCAACCAATATATGTGCGAAATCGTTCCAGTTTGACGATCATTGAGTAAGCCATAAACCGTTCAGGGCTGATTGATATTCAAGTGGAGATTGTTTTTAATCAAACACCAATAAGTGGAGTAATCAGCAATGCAAGATCCGATCGGCAGCTATGAATCCATCTGTATTCCAAATCAATCTCAATTCGCTGTACAGCGGTAATTAAAACAAACGCCACAAGAGTGCAATATCAGTCAATTAACCGACAGACGGCCACAAAACGATAACAAACCAGAACCCGATTCCGAACCCGAACCCGAACCCGAACCTGCTTATCGGATTGTTCGCAGTTGTTAATTGTCGAGAATTGGTTTTTAGTGGGGCATGGATTTTCTTATGCATAAATCTTAGGCGAGGGTTTTCTTATCATCAAAATTAATATATGTTGGTAAGCGTTTCATTGACTGTGAGATAAGCTACGGCCGAGTGACTACTTACCAAGAATAATATGAGGCATTTATTTGTGTCGCCATCAATCTTTGCAAATTATTTATGATATGCTATAAACAATATCGTAAAATATGGCTTTTGATAAAATTTTGAAGCCATCCATAAAATGTTCAATTGTCCGCAATGTTTAATCAAACTCCTTGTTTGCATTTAATTGCCTTCATTGGGTTTCAGACCAATCGAATTGAGAAGTTTATACGCAAGAATTGCTCTTGACGTCAACCGCAACTTTAACCGATCTCTTCAATGATAATAAGTCAATCAACTGGAATTGGTCAATGATACAAAAGTAATACAAGCACAATCAATAACAGTGCATCTTCTCCATCATTACAACTGAGTAGTAATCAACTCTATCTTATTTCTGATATCTGTATATACAAACTTATTGCGGATATCTGCTAGTCAATCATAACTAGATCATCATACACGTTGGTAAATAAATATTTAGGATGGTGAGCTGTGAAACTAATTACAATATAAATAAAATACTTACTTGTAAGTTAATCTTTTTGAATAATCTCGCTTGCTTATAAGTTTTGAAATGATTTGAATTTAAGTGGCAGTCAAAGGACTTATCAACAATGCCACGAATTTTGTTCATTTCAATTTGAAGTATTATTGTCTATTCCGATTATCTATATACATATATGTACACATAGTAATTTCATTCGATGTTTTTGAAGTATTATTATCTATGCCGATTATCTGTGTGTAGCAATAATATTTCATTTACAGTGTCTGATGTGAAGAAGTGATTAGATTAATACGAAACGCAATGCTTTAACTTAATAAACGCAGTGGAGAAATAAATAAATAAATAAACAAGCAACGCAGAATGAGACAGTGACCCACTCAGAATACTGGATGAATGCAAACCGATTGCTAACTGAATACCCATCCAACTGTGTAGTCAAACGTGGCCTGAAAAGTAAAGAAAAATCAAGTGAGTTTAAATTCTGAGAATCGGTTGATTAGGTCATACCCTATAAGCCATACACACCATTTATAAACAGCACAACAAATAAATATAAACAAATATTAAAGAAATGGGAAAAATAAGTTAGAAAAAACTATTGGGGTTTTCCCACATCATAAGCCCACTTGCTCCTTATTTGTAAATTTAGTTTTCAACGTCGATTATTTCAAGTGCTTGCCATATTTATGTTTGTTACACTATCGATTGTTACACTTACCTTGAAGACCATTAGTTTATAATTGAGAGGGTTATTTGTTTTTATTGATTACCTACGAAGCGCAGAGAGATAAGTACGTCTACTTATTAGATTAGCCATGCAAGCACCTATACTGCCAGAGTTTAATACAATATATTTTTTTTTTAATTTTCATACCCTCAATGAAAGATTTGCTGTTTGTAGGGTATAAGAGTCAATATTAACGGCTTCGGAACTGTGAGCGGCGTCCGCTAAAGTGTCGACCGGCAGTTGACCCATCGCTAACTAAGCTTGAAAATTTGCTTATTGCCAACTGGGCAACTGGGCAACTGGGCAACTGGGCAACTGGGGTACTCAGTGCTCGGTGGTATCCACTTTGGAAAACAAGTCACGTAGAACGATTTTTCGTTTCGGTGCCAATGCGACGCGCTTTTTCGTGGTATGCCACCTCTGGCAAGGTCAGGCAATGGCAGGCAACTGTCGCGATTTATAGACGAGCTCTCATTTAAGTCGAAAGCAACAAAACACAGAGCACAATTAGCTTTAGGTACTATGTATTATGTAAATCGCAAATCTCACTCACAAGACTTGAGAAAAAGTCCCAAAAAAAAAAAAAAAAAGCTAAAATGAAGGTGATATAAACAAAAATGTATATTTTGTATATGCTCCACTTGACTTGTGCCATTTACACGTGATCGTACGCCTTGTGTTAAGGTGTAAACAAGTTGTTTGATATCAGAATAAGCATTATTAAAAATGCTAAAAATTTTACAAATGACACCGCCATGCTAATTAATCTGCTTTGTTCGACATGCTCCAGCCGGAGCACGTGATGGCTCAGTAGAAATGTTTGTCAACCAACGCACTTGCCGCTTGCCAGACAATCGCCAATTAGAGCCGAGCCGCAAGTCAAAGCACTGTGGTTCGCACTGCTTCTGTTTTAATGTATTTTAATTTTTATTTACTTATGTTTCTTTTTTTTTTAAACACCTATTATGACTCCACAAGCAAGAATTTTGTCTCAGTTCTCTTTAAGACATATTCATATTTAATCTTTTCGTAATTACCCAATCGGTTTTAGAACACTTCACACTCCTTTGGGGGCAGGCATCGGATGCGCTAAACAACTGTTGTCACAGAGCAAACGAACCGAACTCACAATTATTTGTGATCTCTTGATACTCGCTGGTATCAATTTTTGCGAATTACTCATATCAACGTTGAGATGGCGTTAATTACAGGTGAAAATTGAAAACATTGAGCGTGCCTGGTCAATTATGCAGATTCGATTGCAAACAGACATTGATTGCTCTAGTCATACAGAGAAAATCAACATATATATAGACATCAACATGCCGACTCGGATATATTTATATTTAGGCGCTTTATTAGAGCGTGAATTAAATAAACAAGTTGATTTTTTTTTTCAAGTTATACTTGTTTATTGACATTTTTGGGATGTCAAAGAGTTACTATGCGTAATTTAGAAAATGAATATAAGTTAGCAAAGAAATTTATTATATACATTGTTAGATTCTATTGTACTTTTTAGCACAGATTTACATTCTTTATGTATGTACGTCTATAAAATAAGAGCAATTAAGTCAGATACAAACAAACTTGGCGTACATAAAAACAAAAATAAATGTCGCTCGTAACAAAAACAATAAATTGTGCTTAACGATTGTGCAATTAAACTTGATGACGAATTTGTTCATTAGTTACAAAACTATATATTGCTAATATAAATTTCGAAAATTGTAAGCAACGTGTTTGCAATTTATTTATGATCTAGTTAGATGCATTGTATAACACAAATGTCTTAAATCTTACCAAATTTATTTGGACTTTAAAGTAGAGTGTATTTTTTTTCGTTCTTTAGCAAAGGGTATGATAATTTTGGCCAGAAGCTTGTAACGCATTGAAGAAAACATCAACGAACCCATAAAGTATATATATTCTTGATCAGCATTATTAGTCGATTGACGATTTCTTCGCGTAATACATTCATCGCAGTTCCATAGTTCCACAGTTGCCTTGGGATGAATCAGTCGGCAGATGAGTTCTACTTAAAAAAAAAGATTATCAAGATTGGACAAATATATCATATAGCTTTCAAAATCAGTCGGGCATTTAAATTTATAATACAATTTAAATGTTGGCAGTTTGACTTCTGTTTGCAAGGATATGTTCTCTTTGGTGTCCTGGGCCACTTTTTCTTCTTTTTGGAATAAGACATTATGATAAATATATACGAGTTATAAAAATTAGTTATTTAGTTATAATTAAAAAAGTTGGTGGCTCTAAACGATAAAATTGTAAACAGCATTCCTTGCCTATAATTATATTAATAAGTATAACTTATTTATTTGTGTCGGTAAATCTTATGACTTTTAGTCACATTTAGTTCTGATTTGACATGGATTTATTAGAAAATTAAACAAATAAGAAACCTGTTTTCCAGAGCTACTTTATATCTAAAATATGAACAATGTGTCACAAAGAAACAATTTTTACTAATGTAGCATGTCAAGTATCAATATCATATGAGAAAAGGAGCTAATTGAATTTAGTAGTATTTTTTTGGATTTATTTTCATTGGCTATTGTTCAATTTGTTATATATTAAAAGCTTTATATTTGCTTTAATCTTTAGCCCTTTCACAAGTTTGTGTTGAATTCACAAATACAATTACTCTTTTTCACTCAAATACACACACTCCTACACACACACACACACACACACACACACACACACACACACATGTGAAACTGGCCCGCGAAACTCCCACAGAGTGACGATCTGAAACGACATCGCCGAATGATAATGAATTTATTTCAACGCTAAACGTTGAACGAGCTAGTTGTAAAACTCGGCAACGCGGCGCGAAAAATATTTTGAGTAGCCAGAAACACACACAGACTCGTAAATCCATATAAATTGATAAGCGGACGCATCTCTTCCTGCAGAACGCGACAGGACGATGACGGCTAAGGGGGAAACGAGCGGCAATGGCAGCGAGGAAAATAACCTGACAACACTGCCAATACCGGATATCCGCACCTCACCGATGCCCAATGGCAATAATGGCAACCATGGCACCCACAAGACCTCCCTGGTCGTCGAGAGCCAGCCCAAGCGGCGTGTCAGCATCATATCGGATGCGCCGATGATCAGTGCCAGTGGCGGTGCCGCCGGTTACGACAATCTCGCCTATGAGCAAAATCCCAGACGCAAAATATCCCAGGTGAGTTGTCGTCATCGTTGGCGTTAACGTTTTGCAATTGGCGTCAATTGCGATTACGATCAATTGGGGGTCGTAAATTCGGATTTGAGTGTTTATTAAGTGTTGCCCATAAGCGCAAGAGCCGACAATCGCATATTGATAATTTCTTGGCAACCGTCCACGTATCAGCTGATAGATAATCGCCTGGGATTTCAAAAGATGTAATAAATACCAAAATTTCTTTCAAATTATATTGTGTAGACCTCGACACACTCGCACACAGAGATCGGGCCATCGAGAAGGCGGAGTATCTTAAAAGAGCCATCGCAGCATTATAACGATAATGAAAGCGATCGTGGATCCACGCACAGCTTTGGTAAGTAATCCAGTAAAATGTCATACATTCCGTATGCGTGATATTGGTCAGATTTCTACAATCAGTTATCAGGTTTATTGACTTTGGGGCGTTCCGGTTACCTTATTATCTGACACTGTTCGTATGTCAATTTCAAAGACGGTTCCGAAGGCCATCGTATGTCACTTAGCAAAAAACAAATACGTTTACGATAGGTTTCTATTTGAGCACTTGTGCTTCTATTGTCAATCCAATTTGCCATCACAAAGTTAACATTATCAATTAACAGTACGGAAAGTGATTTCCTATTTCCAGTTGCCATCCGAAATGTCGAAACACACACTATCGCATATATAAGGGGTATATTGAGATGTCAGTCACACAACGTGAATGTTTAAAATTATTATTTGCATAGGTGTATTTTTGTAAATGCAAAAGCATTCGAGTTTTTTGTTTGATTTTAAACTAAACATTTTGCCGAAGGTTTATTGTATACCAAAATTTTGAACATATATAATTTATCAATCAGTATTAATGGGAGTATTTTTTTGTGTCAATGTAGAGGATACCCCATAGTCAAGCATTTCGTCAAAGTTTCATCACTTGTTTTGATGATTGTTTGTTCTTAGGCACGATATGCGCAGACATAATTAAACTCGAATTCTAAATAATGACATAAATTGTTTATTTACTAGTCGTAGTCAGCGTACAGAATTGTACGTGCTATGCACTCGGCGCATTCATTATCTTTGCTTCCAATTGCAGAAAACCACAGGCAGAGTGCATTGGATGTGTTCAATGGAAAGTATCAGGGCCATATGCAGACTAGCTCTCAGGATACGAGTGCCGCTAATTATGTGGAAGAATCTTGGATTTACACATTCTGCGTTAAATGTCGGGGCGATGAGCCATCCGAGGCATGGGAGCCATCATTCTGGCAAAAGGTCTTTCCCTATCCACTGTGTCCCACTTTCAGGACATTCTCTCGTCTTTGTGTTCTCATTCTGATTGGTAAGTGAAAGCATCGATATGTCTTTATGACTATCTTTCTAAAATATGATATCATGTATCTTTGTTTAGGTTTGCTACTTTGGATTGTGGCATTTGTGATTATTGGGGACACAGCTGCCCCTGGCGGGCAGCTCTTCAGTCTAGTGGTGCTTACAGTGGCTGCCAATTTTGGTGGTTATCTGATATCATTGACCACCCTGCCAAGGTTGATTGGTATGCTGCTGGTGGGCATACTCTTTCAGGTGAGATAAACAGTGCGGGTTGTTTAAAGCTCACTAAATTTGATGGAACTGTCATTAAGTTTCACAAATATCATTAATTCAGCAGAATTTTTTGTGCTCGGTCTTAAAAACTAATAATGAAAATAAATTGTACTTCTGTCATTTAAAATGTAAAGTTGCTATTTGCTTCAGGAAAAAATATTTAAGGTGTTTTTGTTGTGTATAAACCTATAATTTATAGTTTGTTGCAATCAAGTACTTATTAAAGCGCAATTGCCAGTAGTGCAAATCATTTGGAATAGCTCATGACAATGATAATGATATTTGAGATAAGTATAAAATATTGACTTGGCTAGTTTATAAAATCTGTTAGCTCAAAATTAAACCTCGATATATATTTAACAGAAAAGCAAATTAATACTTGAGCTAATTAAAATATTTAATATATATAATAAAATTAATTAAAGATCATGTTGTATAACAATATTTCAATAATTCCAGAACGTTGGCTGGGTGGATCTCGATGGTGACTTCTCGAAAGTAACGGGCCATCTGCGCAAGTTTGCCTTAACCATAATCCTGAGTCGAGCTGGTCTCGAAATGGAACCGGAGGCCTTCAAGAAAGTCTACAAGACCATTCTCAAGCTGGGCATTGTGCCGTGGATGGTGGAAGCCGCTGTCATGACGATCATGTCACACTTTCTGCTCGATCTTCCATGGATCTGGGGCTGTATGCTGGGCTCAATCATTGCCGCCATCTCGCCAGCGGTAGTTGTGCCTTGCCTGTTCCGGCTGCGCACCAAGGGATATGGCGTTGTCAAGGGCATACCCACACTAGTGATTGCCGTGGCCGGAGTGGATGATGCTCTCTCTGTGGCAATCTTTGGCATCGTCAGCACGATTATGTTCTCGGACAAGGGATTGGGCTACCAGATTGCTCAGGCACCAGTCTGCATCCTAGGCGGTCTGGCCTTTGGCGTCATCTGGGGCTCGGTGTCTCGCATCTTTCCCGAGAAAGGGGATGCCTATGTGGTACCGTTGCGCACTTTGATGCTCTTTTCTGGCAACCTGGTGGCTATCTATGGCAGTGAGGAGTTGGGCTTTGAGGGAGCTGGTCCGTTGGGCGTTGTCTTCTCATCTTTCGTATCGAATCTGTTTTGGTGCAAGGATGGCTGGGAGGTCGATGAGAATCCCGTATCAACCGCATTTGAGATCTTCTGGATGATCTTCGAGCCCATTCTATTTGGCCTAACCGGTGCCACCATCATTATCAGCGAGCTGGACTCGCAAACAGTCTCAATTGGAGCAGGCTGTATATTCGCTGGCGTCATCATACGCATCTTTGTCACAGCTGGCATCGCTGTTGGCGATCGTCTCAATACCAAGGAGAAGTTCTTTATAGGCCTCTCCTGGATGGCCAAGGCGACGGTTCAGGCTGCATTGGGACCGGCGGCCTTAAAGCATCTGGGCAGCGATGCAACTGCAGAAGAGCGCAAGTGGGCAGAAATTGTGCAGACAGTTTGTGTGTTCAGTATTGTGCTGACAGCTCCACTGGGCGCCATTCTGATATCCGTAACTGGCAGCCGTATGCTGACCAAGACGAAACAGCCGCAGATCTTGTCCGGCTGGCGACGCAGTCATCGTCCCTCTATACGCGATATCAGTATTATCGATGAGGAGGAGGAACGAGAAGATCCCGAGTTGCCCCGAGACAAGGAAACGGATGAAAATACGCAAAGTAATGCCCATTTATCATATACCGCAAATAAATAGTGAAACCCTGGATGGGAATTGCGTGAAGCTCCAGATTTTTGTTGTATTAAGATACGATGTTGATAGTTATACTACGGCAATATTTAGGATAGGGACTTGCATTCCAAATAAATAATAAGTGAGCAGAACGAAAAAATAAAAACAACTTATTTACTTATTTATAGTGATTGCAATCGCTAATTTGGTTTAATGTTTGTTTAACGATGTACCGAGTCATCTGAGAGTACTCTCGTAACGCTAAAGCTCATAAAGCACTCATCGAAAATGACAGCATTTATAATGATGACGCAATTGCTGAAGTAACCACATACCAGAAATGAATTCCTCCAATTTATTGATTTTATAAAATCATTAATCTTCAATCTTAAACTTTTTAATGTGAGTATGAATTCGTGCTGAAAGTCTTAATGAAAATGGGAGTATCTATCTATGTGGCCACCAAAGCATTTGCATGTATAAATGTAACCACTCAAACTTGGTATATATGTTCAGCGTACGTCATTTAATCGGCCCTATTATTGTTTTCTTTTTTTTGTTCGTTTCAAATTGAAAGATTTAGAAATAGAATTTTCTGAGTGGGTTCGAGTCTTCGCTAAGGCCCTTTGGCCTACTTAGCTGGTTGACTTTTTACCTAACATACTTTTTAGAGTAGGATCAAATTATTCAAATTATTACTGAGGAAATATTTGTTATTTCTTATCAATTTAATTGAAAACATTAATAGAATAATTGTGGGAGCAAGTTAAGTGCGATCTTACATAACGTTAGGTTTTTAATTGCTAAGACGAATAGAATGGAATTCGCATCCAAAATCATATAAAATTATTAGAATAAACCAGAATAAACCAGACCTGCTTTGAAGCGCCCACAAAAAAAATATATATATATAATGTATACTTTTAAAGAACTGGTTTCTGCCCTAAGCTTATAAATAAGTGCACCCATATATAATAAACATCAATGAAAAAAAGACCAACCAATAAATTTTTTGAAGCAAACACATAATAAATAAAGAAAGCAACGAAGAAATAATAAACAATCTTTACAATATGCAGATTCATCAAGTGACGATCAAAAAATTTTCCACTCTTTTAATTTTTTTTTATTTGATGAGTTCCTAAATGAGGGGAATTTTTATTTTGTATGTGGTTCGCCAACAAGCTTAACTGTTGGTAAAGGTAGCAATTTATTTAAATTTCAATTAGGTATTCTGGAATTTTGCAACTTTTATATGTAAATTAATGGTAGATGAAAAAAGTAAATAGGATAATTAATCAGCTAGAGAAACTGATTTCGTGCCGTTTTAAAGCCGCATTCCTAACATTGCTAAACAAAATAATTTCGCAGGGAGCAATTTAAGCGTGAAATTCTTTCTCATATAATTATAATAAAAAACATTCGCAGAGCACAGATAATAATAGGAGCTCTAATCGCGGCTACCGTTGTGTAGGTGATAAATAATGAAATTGTATGATCACCGATTTAAATGACATTGCGCAAAAAACGCCCAACCAGTCCACAAATGAGGCGAGTTGCCTTTGTTGGCTTTAATCTAACGCATCGCAAATTGCAAATTCCAGAAAGAATGTTGCTGTGTCGCGTTCTCGATCGGGAGATCCCAAATTGTTGTCTAAAACATTAATACATATAAATGAAAATTTACCCTGCAATTATTTTTCAAATAATGATCGAGAAGAAAATTATATAGAAGCGATATTACTGTAAACTCAAATTTGTGAATTAAACTTAAATTCATTTGCTGCTGGAGTTGAAATCGACTAATGTTTAGCTTAAGAATATATGTACTTAATTTGTCACCAGATAACCTAACCTTATAACCACAATTCATTGCACATTTATATGTCACAGGGTATCACCAAATACCTGGTTTAACAACAAATTTCTAAATACCACACAAAAAAAAAGAAGCAAACAAAAACAACCAAAATAATAACAATGGCGTAAAGTCAAAAGGGGGGATAAAAAACGACAGAGTAACAAATTCCATTAAATAATTAATTCAGCCTCGTTATTTAGAAGCGAGAGTCTGCTGGTCTCTCATGTCAATTTGTTTAGATAAAATGCGTCACAATTCAACGACAAACAATCCGAGATCAAATCAAACCCGACCACAGCTCCGACGTGGTTTACACATACATACATATACAAAAATATGTATGTAATATGGATGGATATCTGTGACCAGTCCAGGGCTCCAGATCCATTTGTCTCTAATTAGTGCAAATTATTGAAAACTTTAAATTTGTTTATGGCCAGCTGTTATTTTGTTTTTATGATTCCTGTATTAAATAATTAATACTTATTTGCATTAATCTTTAGCACATTCCACAGACAGACACACACACACACACAAACAAACACTCGAATATCGGTTTGGCCAGCGGGCCCACAAAAAGCCCGGCAACTCGCCCAAAAAAACCGTGATCAGTATCGCCAGCCACGACGGCAGATGAGTTTATTTGAACGTTAAACGCCGAACGAGCTGGTTGTAAAGGCCGCGGACCGGATAAATTGGCTTTTGCGTGGAATTTGTGTATATTATGTATATAGTAAGCTGATATAAGTGATATAAATCAGTTAGTGTTTAGTAAGCCTCGCACCCCGCATTATCCCGCAGAGCCACAAAACAATGACGACTAATTTAGATCAGGGCAGCACAGTGGCCGTAGTTGGTGCTACAAAAACAATAGCTCGACCCAGCCCACTGGCAATCAATGTGCCAACGCCTTTGGTCTCCATTGACGGGCAGACACCTCCAACCCCAAATCATAAGAGCACCATCGTCATCGAGAGTCAGCCGAAGCGGCGTGTCAGCATTGTTTCCGAGGTCCCGGTGCTAGGACATAATAGTGCCGGATATGATAATCTCGCCTTTGATTTTCCACACCCACGTAAAGTGTCACAGGTAAGCGGATTATATTATGATCGTAATTTTGTTTTTACTGTGTGTTTAACGATCTACCGAGTCAAATGCGGGTACAGCATTTAGTAACCATATACCGTACTCAATGTGTATTACTGAAATTTTAATGATGCTCGTAATTGCAATTAAATGCTTACTGATTTGCGCATACTTTCAATTAGTCAACACTCTTCCAAACAAAGTAATCACATTCCTTAAAAAAATGCAATAATTTTAATTTGGACACAGACTTCAACACATTCACACTTTGGATCGGAGCACCTGGACGTAGGAGAAGCATCTTGAAGGATGTTGTGTCCCATGAAAATGAGTGCGATCGTGTCTCGACGAACAGTTATGGTAAGTCGGACTCTAAAATTTGTGAATATAAGGAAAAGTGTGCTGAATTTAATAATCGAAAGTGAACTTTACTGAGAATATATTAAGTTAGATGACAATCAAACTTTAGCGATGATTTTTTTAAATAATTTTCAATTTTCAATCGGCTTTCATCCAGAGACAACTGATATTAATATTTTATCACTTAAATTCATAGAATCAAGTGTACTTTTTACAATTTACTTAATTCGTTTAAAAACATTTTGTTTTCATTTTTTAGTGTGTCATTGTGACGATACTTTAGACTCTTATGGATTATTATTGTTAAGGAATGATCTTGTGAAATTTGGTACAATAATTAATTATAAAGTTAATAATTTTGATAGGAATGTGACTTGAAATATTTAAAATATTAGATTAGCTTGTAGATTGTTGGAGGAGCAACGTTTCATACGTAGGCAGATATTTACATATTATAAATAAATATATTATTTATTCAAGATAATACTGGTTATGTATAGAATGAAATATATATAAAATGCTCAGTCTGAGAGTAATAATAATTATAATAATGTTAATTACAAAGACCTACCGTAAACCTCAGACTATCATTTAGCAGAAGCAAATGAAAACATTGAACACTTATGGAGCTAATGTCAATTGAATTTGAAGCCATAAAGTCGTCATTAGCAATTAACATCCGTCTGAAAGGGGCGATTTAAAATTCTTGTTTTGATTTTATAGTACAATATTCACATGCCACACTTATCACCCAATTAGAGTTAGATGCTAATTCGATGAGTCTATATATGGACAACACCCTTGATCGATCGATCTATTTATCAATCCACACAGAGATCTACAAGCAGAGTGCGCTGGACGTGCTTAATGCCAATTATAATGGCTTGCAGGCGGTCCAAGGAGTGCAGGATAACAATGGGAATTATGTGGAACAGTCGTGGATATATAATTATTGTCTCAAGTGTCGCAAGCAGGAGCCATCCGAGTCATGGGAGCCACCGTTCTGGCAAAAGGTCTTTCCCTATCCACTGTGCCCCACCTTCAGGACATTCTCCCGCCTGACTTCCCTCACAGTGATTGGTGAGCTGCTTGCTCAGACATATTTGAAACCCAAACGTGAACCGGTTTTATTTATCTAAAAAGGTGCTCTACTTTGGATAACCTCCTTTGTGATTATTGGCAAATCAGCTGGTCCTGGCGGGCAGCTTTTTGACCTTGTTGTGCTTACGGTGGCTGCTAATTTTGGTGGCTATCTAATATCATTGTCCACTCTGCCACGCCTCCTCGGTATGCTCCTGGTAGGCTTATTGTTTCAGGTGAGTCAGAAACTGAAATGAACTGAGGAAAAATCTTTGGAAAAGTCGAAATTCAAATTGCCATATTCATTATTTGCTTTTAGAACGCCGGCTGGGTCGATTTCGATGGCGAGTTCTCCAAGGTCATCGCCCATTTGCGTAAATTTGCCCTCACCATAATCCTAACGAGAGCTGGCCTCGAAATGAATCCGAATGCCTTCAAGAAGGTGTACAAGACAATTCTCAAGCTGGGCATTGTGCCATGGTTTGTGGAGTTCGGTGTCTTGGTGTTAATGTCGCACTTCCTGCTCGGCTTGCCCTGGATTTGGTGCTGCATGCTCGGCTCCATAATGGCGGCCATTGCACCCGCTGTAGTCGTGCCCTGTTTGTTCCGGCTGCGCACCAAGGGATATGGAGTGGCCAAGGGCATACCCACTTTAGTTGTGGCCGTGTCTGGGGTGGACGATGCTCTCTCGGTGGCCGCATTCGGCATCATCAATACGATCATGTACTCAGATCGTGGACATCTTTATCTGTTTGCTCAGGTGCCCGTCTGTATCGTTGGCGGCCTGGGTTTTGGCATCGTCTGGGGTTCGCTGGCACGCATCTTTCCCGAGAGGGGAGACGCGTATGTGGTGCCGTTGCGGACGATGATGCTATTCATTGGCAACTTGGTGGCCATCTATGGCAGCGGTAAGCTGGGCTTTGAGGGCGCTGGTCCGCTGGCTGTTGTCTTCTCATCATTCATATCGAATTACTTCTGGTGCAAGGATGGCTGGACCATCGATGACAATCCGGTTGGCACAGGCTTCGAAATCTTCTGGATGATCTTCGAGCCCATTCTGTTTGGCTTGACGGGCGCCACAATCAAGTTGCGCGAGCTGGATTCAAATTTGATTTACATTGGTGCTGTGTGCATATTCACCGGGGTCATCGTACGCATCTTTGTCACAGCTGGCATCGCTGTTGGCGATCGTCTCAATACCAAGGAGAAGTTCTTCGTAGGCCTGGCCTGGATGGCCAAGGCGACGGTTCAGGCTGCACTGGGACCGGTGGCTCTTAGACATTTGGATGAAACATCCACAGAAGAGGACCGCAACTGGGCAAGAATTGTGCAAACAATATGCATTTTAAGTATTTTACTTACAGCTCCCTTGGGCGCTATTCTGATATCCGTGACTGGGCCCAGGATGCTGACAAAGACGAAGCAGGCACAGGCACTCACCGGCTGGCGTCGTCCTTCCATACGCGACATCAGCATTATCGATGAGGAAGAGGAACGCGAGGATCCCGAGACTCCCACTGAAAAGCAGACTCACGACAATACCCAAAGCAATGCACATATTCCCAACTTATCGTTTACACTCAACAAGTAGTTAGGAGTTGCTCAAACTAAGTTTAACTTTTTAAAATGCGAGTAATTCAAATTATGATCATATAAATATAAACAAGCGCAATTATTTTGATATGAAAATAAATGCTTGACTCAATAATAATATATGAAAATCAATATACAATGGTATAATTACCAAGGAACCAAAGATGAAACGGAACCCGTCGTTTCAACCACATATCATTTTCCGATTTAGTTCCCAAGGGCTCTTGGGAATACAAATATTATTCCAAGTTGCCTGTCCTTTACTAATAGTTGAGCCATGTAGGTTCCAATAATATTTCATTTATATTTTGTTTTGCAAAAATAGTATATTTTGTTCCCTTTGAATCAATGTAGAAATTCAAATGCTCATCGACTAATTAGATCTCTTCACTCAGTTAACAGTTGAAAAATTAATTATTAATACATTAAACATGGAATTGAATCCTATTAAGAAAATATGAACGTCAGCAGTATGAGTAAAAATGATTTTAAAATTTACATTGTCTAAGCATAGTTAAAGAAAAAGGCTCTAAATCAGTTTACAAATATTTCTGCACGGGTTCACCGAGAATCGTTTCCAATTCTTGGACGGCGCTGCGAGTATTCTTCTCCACACGCTCATGCTCGTCCTCGAGAAGTTCGGCTATGAATGGCACCGTCTCCGGCAGGAGCGGAGCGAAGCTCTCGCCCAGCTTGCGGGCAATCGCAACGCTGCTGTTGAAGGCCAGGATGCGCACTTCGGGCGCAAAGTTGCGTGTCTTGAGCAGCACCTGGTTGTTGAGCTGCTTCCACAGCACATCGTTGCTAGCGGCAGCCAATTGGGCGATGCAATCTGAAAGTGTTTGCTGTAACGTCTCACACTCGCTGGCCAGCACCAAGCTGTTCTCCAGCTGATCTACAAGAGGACGCATTAGCGTATTGAAGCGATGATCATTGATAAAATCGCTGTCGCAGTGCAGGAACACGTGACGCAATGTGCTCAGAATAGCCGACAACAGGTCAACAATATCATCGGAGTCAACTTCGTCGGAGAACTCTGGATGCGATGTGTTGTGCTCGTGTAGCAATCGTGCCGCATCCTCGATAAACTCGTCGGCGAAGAGCACAAAGAGCGATTTGAGCGCCTCGGCAATGCGATTGGTCAGCAGGAAGTAGGTGAGCTTCGGCTGGATCTCAGTACGTTCCATGGCCCACATGTGCACCCGACTGTACATGGGCCGGAAGCTCGTCTCGGATAGCTTGAGTATCCAGGCGACAAACGCCTCACTCACGGACGCCTCAATTTCTGCAATGCGCTGACGCTGCGGCTGCTGCTTATGTCCACGCACCTGCAGCCGGAATTCGAGCGCCTGGAGGAACAGCTCGGATAATGTCTCCTGTACGGGTTGCAGTTCAGAGTTGGCATTGTGTTGGATGCATGGCAGGAGTAGCTGGCGCATCAGCATACCCAGCTCATCGTAAGCCTTTGCCTCCAACAGACATTCATAGCTCTTTGCACAGCTGGGCACCAGAATGCGTGCCTCCACACCCTGCGCCACCGCCGTCCACACGTCCACAATGCGCAGCTTGAGGGCCTGCGTCCGTTTGTCCTGGGCCAGTTGTGCATTCTCCAACTGCACCGAGAGACGTATCAGCGCACCAATGATGTCAACCAAATAGGGACCCAGGAAGAGCGGCAGCGTTAAAAACAGCTTATGCAAGGCTGTCGGGAAAGTGCAGAGAAACATTAATTAATAAGTGAAGTGGTCCAACGAACTGTGTGTAGACCTTTTGAGTTGGACCTGACTGACCATATACACTAATCGAAAATAAAATGTATTATTTAATAGAAACAGATAAACGGATATCGATTCGCCTGATTATGTTGATTATGATTAATGATTATAAAGACAAACAGTTTATAAAACCGCCCCTTAAAAAAAAAACTCACTTTAAGCGAACAAAACCTATATATTCACTAAAATATTAATATATTCACCGGACTTTTTTCTCGACTTAAGTTAAGTTAAATTATCTCTATGTTAAATGTTAAAAGCACAGATTTTAATCAATTTTGTTTCCATTTTTTGTTTTGTTTCGATAGAAAGTTGATTTTCAAGATGCGTTTGATACTGTTACGCTTGCTTGGACTTAAATCAGTTCCGGCTAAGCCGGTAGGTTTTGTGCTCTTTCACGCTACGTTGGCAATTATAATGGCGAGCTTTTCATTGCTCAATAGATATAAATGTGTATTAGACCGTCACTGATTTAAATGAATAATCAATCAATTAAATGGCTTATATATCTAAGCAAATAGATTGTTATATTTGGCTTACCAGTGACTAAAGCAGAGCAGACATAGTCCGGTGTTTGCCGTTGGGTTAGGAGCAGCTGCACCTGTTCCTTCAGCAGTTCCGTCAGCTGTGGCGCAAACTTTGGCAACTGGGCCAGAGCGTGAGCCTTAATGCTGGCACAGACCTCGACGAGGGTGAGCACCACATTGCCGACAACACCCTTGGGCACATTGGCGCGTCGCTTGACGATGCGCGTCAGCTTGGCCAGAAGCGTGCGACACTCGTCCAGGTAATCGGGTCCGTGTCGTTTGGCCAGCAGCTGGAGTGCATGAAGAGCCGTCTGCTGTAGCTGCGCCTGCTGTGCATTATTGCCACCGGCCGTGTCTAGGATGCCATCGACAATGGTGCACAGCGGCTCGAAAAGCAATCCGAAGTGGGTTGAATGACATTGGGCAAAGTAATCGCTGGGTGGCGTCAGTTTGGTGACCAGCAACTCCAGCACCTTGATGCGCACATGGATGAGCTCGTGCTGCAGCAGCTCCGTAATCACATTGAGGAAATGCTCGGCCCTGAGCAGTCCAATGGCATTGTCCAGGACATCGTGTGCATGATTGCCCAGCACATGCCAGTATTTCTTGAGCACATTATCGGCCAGCTGGTGTGCCTGATTGACGACGACCACATAGGAGAGTGTTTTGGCTATGAAGTGTTGGTAGAGCGCCAACTGCGACTGCTTGGGTTTGCCAAGTTTGGTCTGGAACTCCGCCGAGCTGCTCACACTGGATAGATAATCCATGATGAGGTATTTATAGTGACGCAGCTGCTTGAAACTGCGCGTGCGCACATCAAACAGCTGCTGCTCCGGCGATATGCTGCTGGCCGAGGAGGAACTGGCTGCCTGGGCAAGCGCCTCCTTAGTCTGGGGCAGTGTGGCCAAGTAGTCGAGCAGATGCACACAGGTGTCCACAATAACAGCCGGCTGCTCGAACATCAGCGTCAGCTCGCGTGCAAATTCCAAACGCTGCCTGTCCACTTGTTTGCCTGCCGTGTGTGGCGTCTGTGCCAATTGCATTTGTGACTCGAGTACGATGCATAGGAATTGCCACAGATGCTGGCGGGGATTGAGCACACGGAAGAGCGTCTCGTAGAGCGGCAGGCGTCGATGCAGCGGCACATCGATACAGATATCCGCAAAGACCTTCAGCACTGCAATGACCAAACGCTGACGTTGTTCACCCGGCTGGAGGAGCAGTGTGGGTATAATGGTCTCCACCACATTGCGTATGATGTGCAGACTGAAGGCATCGTCATGTCGCGCCACCGTCGAGCCAACAAACGTAAAGATCTCGACAATCTTGTGCAGCACCTGCTGCGGATACAGTGCAGCGCAGCGTGTGAGGAAGAGCAACGCATGCTGTTGCGTCTGTGGATTCTGTGTGTTGCGCAGACACTGCACCACCTGCTCGATGCGGAAGCACGACTCGGGCAGCACCTTGGACAGCTGCACACCGGCCGCCTGCGCTGCTTCGCAGCAGTGCAGCAGGCTGGAGAGGATCAGTTGTTTGGGATACTCGGCCGCACTGTGCTCCTCCAACGTCAGGCACAGCTGCAGCAGGTCAAAGAGCTGGGGAATGAGTAGCTCAGCGCCAACAAGTTGTTTCTTATGCTCCAACAGCTCGAGCAGGGTCATGCCCTGTTTCCAGGCAATGGAGGTTAGATCCAATTTGGTTTCAGTTGCGCCACGAACTCGACGCTCCGGCAAAGTGCTGCGAGTACTGCGACTCAGCATACTGGCCAACATGGGTATCAGGGACTGGCAATCGATGCTGCAACGCTTGAGCAGACGATGTGCAGCCAGAAAGATGCTATCGTTATCCGCGGCAGTGGCTGCTTCCACAATCAGCTGCAACAATGCCACTTTATGCTGACTCTGCAGCTGCTCGTATGTCTCCGGGGACACGGAGTTGAGTAGGACACAAGGCAGCGGTTGTAGTTTCTGTTCCAGTTGCACATAGGTGGTATGCTGCTTGAAAGTCACCTCCAGCAGTTGCCAGGAGCTGGGTTTGCTCTGCAGTACACTCAAGCCAACCGATCCCTCGAAGCGTTCAATTACGGCACAGTAAATATCGCTATGTGGCCAGCTAAGTTGTGCCAGCTGTGGTATATCATTGCCGGGATCAATCTGTGCCACCTGCTTCAATGCTGACTCCGCTAATGGCAAGAGAGCCGTCAGCATTGCCTCATTATTCATGTGCTTCAGGGCCTTTAACAGAGCCGCAGTGCAAATTGCTGGCTGCTGCACATCGCAGACCAGATCCAACAGACTGCGACGCAGCTTTGCCAACAGCAGTTTCTCTCTCGGCGTGCACTTCCTGTTTTGGAGTATGGTGTGCAGGATGAGCGCATATTGCTCATGATCCATGCACAATTCACTTTGACGCTGCAGCAGACACTCGACCAGTTGGGCAATATGTGCATCCAGTTTCTTCTGGTCGAGCAGTTGAAGCGTTTGTAGTGCCTGTTGTCGCAGCGTTTGCAATGGCGAATTGCAGGCATTGGCTATGCGAAGCACGTGCAACAAACTGCAGTTGATGTCGCCGCCAGTTGGTGCACGCAGCAGTGCCTGCAACAGTTGAAAGCCGCGCACGCGAAACACGGCATAATCCGAGGCGCTGCTAAACAGCTCTGGCAATGTTTCGTATACGTAAAAGTTGCAGAGAAAATCGAGTTTTTGTTGCGCCTCGGGCAGCATTAAATTGACGCAATCCTTCAGAGCACGTGTCCATTCCCTGCGCTCAGCTGGGGCGCAATGTTTATCATAAACGTGAGCGCACAATACATCCAGGAGCAGCAGGCAAAGATGCAGCTCATCAGTCATTTGATTCCAGTGGGTAGCCGAGAGTTGCGGGAACTTGGTATTCTTGGCGAGTGTTGTCAAAAAGTCCACGTAAAGCTGCAGTGGTACAAAGTTGTCGTTGTTGTTCCTGCTGTGGCCGTGGTTGCTGCCGCCATCCTTGGTCAGGCGAAAGTGAAAGCCGCTAGTGTAGACGCCCAGACGTTGCAGCATTTGCAGACTCTCCGAGGCGCTCAACTCGCGCTTGGTATACGCGGTGAGCAGGATTAGCAAGTGGGTCAGCTGCGTCGCCTCGCCGCGTAGATAGGCAATGCCTCCATGCTGCTCCAAGCTATCGAGCAGCGCCATTTGCTGATTGGCCAGCTGGCCGGCAGTGGCAATTACATTCAGAAATTGCTGCCGATGCTGCGAGACATTAAATTTCTCATGTTCAGTGCATACATTGAGCTCTCCCAGAAATGGCAGCTTGCTCGCTAAATTGCTGCTCAACAGAAGCAGGAGTGCTTCGTGTTCCTTGAGGCTCAGTGCATTCGATGGAAACAGATAGGGCATCAGTGCGAGCAGCAATAGATTCGAGTCGAAATCATCACTAACAGCAGAAGTGGTTAAATGCTGCACAGCTTGTGGCACCACAGAATCCCATTGCGTTTGCCGCTGCTGCTGTGCACGTTGCAACAGTTCACACAGCGTCTGAGCAAAGGATCGAGCGCCGAGCATCTGGACAAAATCAACGGTGGGCAGTGTAAGCAGCGCCGCAACAACGGCGGGACTATCATCCTTGATCCGATCGGGCAGACATTCTTGCAACAGGCGAAAGCAGCGCTCCCGTCGCCTTGGCACATTTAGATTCTGTAGCAACTGCTGCACGGCGCTCAGACGCCAGTCGGCGCTGTAATGGTAGAGCTTCTCATAAACACGCTTCGCCTTCTCGTCGGTTGTATTCAAACGAAAGCCTGAAAAATGTATTTAAAAGTTTAATAAAATATAAAATAATAATTGTTAAATAAGTGCAGATTTGATAATTTCACATATACTCACCCAATGCCAATTTGAGTGCCTTCTTGCGATTGCTTGTCTTGGACTTGGCGCTGAGCGCCGCCTTGACACTCAGATCAAAGGCATCCGGATAGCGACGTTCGAGTTTCTCGAGGAACTCTGTATACCATGTCTGAAAATTGGTTTTGGCTGGCAACATTTCATCATCTGAATCAATAATGATTGTATTCTCGTCATCATTCTCAGGCAAAGTGGTGTCCATACGCATGGATTCATTATCATCATCCATGTCCACAAAAGTGTCCAGGAAACAGCTAAATGAAAAGCACTGTAAATAATTAAATCGAGCTGAGAAGAGAGAATTTCTTACTTGATTAGCTGCTGAGCGCCGTTCTGGGAGAGCGGCACATTGGCCAGAAGATTGTCGAGAAACTGCTGATGTGTAGCCGTTGATTCATCTCCCTCCCGTATGGCCGCAACTGCTCCGCGCACTAGCGGCATACAAATGGCTCGGATGGCAATGTTGTCATTGGCCAGTGCAGTCAAGGCGTTAATTAGCCACTTCTGGCAGGCCAGATTCAACATTGTCTTGGGTGTGAATTGCGGCCGGGCTGCCTGCTGCTTGTCCTGAATCGCGATGAGCAGCATCAGGGCCGTTGTGTGCAGTCGCTCGAAAGTGCAGTTGGCCACACGCTCCAGTAGCGCGTTGCAGATTTTCGTCTTCAGTTTGGTACGTGAGACGAGCTGGGCGACAATTACATAGGAAGCAGCCACAAAATCCACCGTGTCGGAGACGAGACCCTTCAGCAGCGACTCCAATATGGTCGAAATATGCCAATCCTCCAGTGGCTTGGCCGTCTGCAGTGCGCCCACAACAACTGTGGCATAGAAATTGATCTGTGCCTGCAGCTGTGGGGCACGTGGACCTAGTTCCTTGACCGCTTGGCGTGTGCTGCGACAGACGAAGCTGAGGAACGAGGGCACGCTCGCGGCACGATTCACTATGGTCGTCTTGGAGAGGGGGACGCCAGGACGCTGCAATCGGCGCAGCCAGAACCAATCCTCGTCGGATTTGCGCAGTCGCATCGTTTGGAGCACTTGGACAAATGTGTTTGTCTCGTGGTATGGCATTATCAGTGCCATCACCTGCTCCCGATTGTAGTCATGCACCTGGAAGCGACGCAGCAGCCACTCAAAGCACATGTGCGCCGGACGCAGCAAAAAATAGGGCGACAAGAGGCGCAAGAATTTGGCGATTGCTGCATCCAGCAGCTGGTTGACCTCCGCCTGCTCGACGGCACGCTCCAATGTTAGGGTGGCCTCATCGAAGAGCGTTAGTTGGAACTCCTTGAAGTTCGGATTGAAGGCTGTCAGTTCGAGGAGACCACTCAAGCCGATTTCGTAGATGGCTCGCCTGTCTTTTGTGGCCGCCTCTTTGGGATCGAATAATATCGAGGCGCGACTGCGTGCATCCGTTAAAGGAACGGATGTCTGCGGCGCAGCCAAGTTTTGTAGTTGTTGAGCCAATGACGTCGTCATTTTGTTTTGGCTCCTTTGTGTATAAAAACACTAGAAAATAAACGTGAAATGTACAACGACCACTTCACACGTGCTTCGGCGGTAAATGATGAAATTGTAGTATATCGATAAGTTCACACGCTCTTCTGTATATCGATGTTCAATCGATGGTGCTGCACGACAAGTTGAATGTGACGTCACAAGCTGCGCAATGCTGTAATGACATTTGCTTGAAATATAATTAATAAATTAAATGAAAACTAATGGGAAATTATACTTAAAATATGTACTTGATGCAAAATACTAGTAAAGGTAAAATAAATGTATATTTTAGCAAAGATTCGAATTTAAATGCAGTTGAGTTAATTTTGCTACATCCTTATTTTATCAATTAGAATAACAATTAGAGAAGTTTGTTAAAATGTAAGACAGAAAATAATCACAAACATTTTATCTTGATATAAATAGTTTTCAATTCCAGTATTTACCCGACCAATAAATTTGTATATGCGCAGAATTGACTAAACTTTAAACGACCGAATCAGATCTCTGTATCATATAGCGGCCATAGGAAAAAACGATCGTAATATTAATTTCAAGTTGTGGGATCGTGACAGGCTTCGGCATACAAATGCTCATTTCTTTTACAATACAACTACACAAATGTGGCAAAAAATATATTTTTTTAATGAATTTGCCTTCAATTTCAATCAAATCGAAATAAGAATTTAATTTAGATGTCTGCAGATTAGATCCAGTTAACAGTTTTTCTTATTTTAATTTGGAGTTGTGATTTGGCTTTTACTTCTTATTGATTATGGACTAATCAATCCATCGGCTAATAAGATAAATACAAAAATCATGGTTGTTTGACATTTTGGTTGTTTAATTATAAAGATCGTTTAAAAAATGTAAAAAGTGTCTTACGTTTAATTAATCTCACAGAGGTAGAATGTTTGTTCAGCATACATAATACAATAACGGAAAAACTAATACGATTTCATGACAGTAAAATGGAGATGTAATTTGTAATGTGTGTCGACTATATAATACTATTTTTAAACATGAAAACCTTGCAACATTCGATAATGCGATTACTTAAACTTAAACTAAGGATACATAATGTGGTTGTTCTCGACTTTTTATGTTGCTTTGTTCTTCTGGCTTAAAAGTTCAAACGCTTCAGGGACTTTTTACGACTGAGCTTGAAGTCAGTTTTTTGGTTGCGCTTAGGTGGCGTCACCTTCTCGGCGGGCATCATTATCTTGGATGGGGTGCCCATCTCGGTGACCAGACACTTCTTGCCCGGATGCGGCAGACCGCAGCATTCAACACAAAAGCGAAATTTACATAAGACACTAGTGCATTCACCCACCGAATACGGCGGCGGAGGCGAGGATCTGCTCATCTCATCCATGGAATAGAAGCGCGTCAGAGATGGTTTCGTCTCGCTGAAGGCAACATAATTGTTGTTTGGTAATGTTTGCGAAAGGGCAGCAGCAATCCTGTGCTGGGGCATCGTCTGCGGCGTTTGCTGCTCCTCCACCTGACAGTAGAAGACGCGGCTGCATTTGCCGCAGCGCGGACACTTGATGCGCTGCATCTGCTCCACCAAGGGACCAGCGTTGTCCTGCAACGGGGTGTGCTTATAGCTAACCTGTGTTTGATTTGGTTTATGTATGGCATTGGATGGGTTGAATGGCACTGCAATTTGTTTTTTCGACTGCATCGGATGGCCTTTCATCCGCGGATGACTGCCAGCGTTCTCCTTGCTCAGGCTGAGCTTGAAGCGATGATTGCGCAGTCGCTCCATCGCACGCTGGCTCTTCTGCACTGCCAGTGCCCAGCACTCGGACACCCGAGTCATTACGTCCAGCGTGTGCGAGCCAACATGTTGCAGTATGCACTCCAACGCTGGCTGCGTATTGCTCAGCTTGCCAACGATATCCAGCTGCTCGATGCCATCGTAGTAGCGGGTACGGCAGATGGACAGCTGCGCCGGCAGTGGAAATAGTTTCTTTTTTGATTTCTTGGGGCTGCTGTGGTGCGCCATTGCTTGACAGTGCAATTTACGTCGTTTCGTGGACATCAGTTGTGAAAATTTGCTTGCATCTTCGCTCGCATCCGTCAGACTAAAACTGGATTTGCGGAATTGGGACATGTTGTTGGATAGATTGCCCGGCGTTTGAAATTGCAGCGAACTGTAGTCAGATTTTGAGTGGATTGCAGTCGTGTTGGATGCATTGCGACAGTTTTCAGTCTCGCAGTCGCGATCAAATAAAAATGGCGCCTCCACGGTTGAGTTGTGCAGCGCTTTAAAGGATGCGTAGCCCGACTCGTCAATGCCACAGTCGGTCGCATCGAAGCTCGAGCTGGAGCACATTTTCTTCAATACTTTTCGATTGTAGGCACTCATTTTGAGTTTGGAATGAGAATGCCAAATTATAAAGCTTTACTTTCACATTTGTTTTCTTTTTCTGTCTTGCTTGAGAATTTTACGAAGCAATTGGCGTCGATGCAAATATTAGAGTTGCTCAATTGGTATCGATGCACGTGCATATCGATAGTTAGCTTGCTATCGATGTAGGGATTGAAACAAACTGCACCTTTAGCATACAAAAAGCTAATTGATATGCCATTTTTGTGTGCACTGTGTTAGATGCTAAGATGCATGCATATTTTTAAAAATAAAAATTCTGGTTACATTCATCTGGTAGTAAACACTATCAAATATATGTATGTATATATATATATATATTTCAATTATTTCATTTATGTTTCAGATACTATAATCCGTTTTTGTAGAGAAATGTTTAATTATTTGTTATTGACAATGATATTTTAGAACGATCAACTTACGATTGAGATCGAGAATAAATATTTTACATTTTCTACAGATATTAATATTTTATTTATTTACAAACCAGTTTCCTCATTTATTGAAGTTAATGTGTTACTTTTACTTTAATTAAAAAAATGTAATTTTGCAAGTAGGCAGCGGATGTGATTATCTTAAGATTCAATGTAAAAACTTGTATTTTTTTTATGAGATAAGTCATCATATAGGTTATGGCGCATACTTTATGCGAAAACAAACATCTGAATACTCTGCCAGCAATCCCTTTCTTGTGGACGATTAAGATGACGGCCACTCTGTGATAATCTCCGGCCAGGGCATCAATGTCATCAAATTAACAAAACTCTCTCAATAATTTATCATTTGCTCTGTTTCACGTTTCCCTTAAAACTTGAATCCCTTTCCATTCTATTCATCGCTGTCTCCATCTGTCCCCCTCTCTATCTCTCTCTCTCTCTCTCTCTCTCTCTCTTTCTCGCAGACACGTTTTTGGCCCATCTGACAAATTTGCCAGCTCAAGTTTTGTGCAAATCATGACGAGGCATAGATTTCGAATTCATGTGAAAATCATGCTGCCCACCGCAATCAACCCCTCTTTTATACGCTGATAGTTTCATCAGCCTTATGGTCCTTGTGGTTCCTTGGGTGCTGACAACCTACACAGCTTTATCCACTTGCCGCAGACAGAAACAGAGTGAAAGACAGAGAGAGATACGGAGGAAAAAAGATAGACAGAGAGAGAGAGAGAGAGAGAGAGAGAGAGATAGGGAGAAGCAAAAGGAAAATCAATGAATGATATTTCTTTATGAGGCTCAATTATTTGTTGCGGGGATTTGCTTTTCTTCCTCCATTTCAGTCATCTGGCTGCTGCGTCGTGCTTCATTGTCCTTTTAAATGCTTTGGCAAAATATTTTGGGTATTTGTGCAGTGCCCCCTTTATGCCAGTCCGTCCCCCTGTTGTCGTGATACAAACGGGAATCAAGAGTCGGCGACGCCTGCGTTAATAATTTATGAATATTTGCTCATTTATTGTTTTGCATTATTTATGCGTTTATTATTATCCCCTTGCAGGACAAGCGAAGGAAGGGCAAAGATTTTGTTTTGATTTTAATTAAATCGACAGACGCACACATCGGGCTTAATTTAAAGTCATTTGGCAGCCCTAATCCCTCGTTTCCCAACTTGTGGTTAATAATTGTCGTCAGCAGCCAAGAAATATCTATAGCAATTTGGTGTTTTTTTTTGGAAGTCAATCTTTTGATTTGATTTTAATTGCTTCATTACTGTCCATTAGAAGTATGCACATGTACAAGTATTATGCATATTTAAATTTACAAATTGTAAAAAATGATCAAATTTAATTTTGATTTTATTATATTCAAGTAACGGATAAAACAGTTAAGATTAAAATTAAAATAAATCACGTTTCATTGGAGTAACTGAATATCGATTGAAATTAATTTTAAATTATAATCGTCAATATTTAATATTATATCTAAATAAAATTATTATTATTATCTATTAAATTTTCAACATTATGCATTGGTGAGTAGTGCCTTAAAAAATAAGCTTAAATTTGAAGTACTGGAAAAGAAAAAAATTAACATATAGAAATAAATAAATTTCATTCTGCCTATGGTTAGATATGATTATTTAAGAACTAATAATTAATGTTTCAAAATGAACGAAATATTAAAACAAAGAAAAGTAAGTAAATTAATTTTGCTTCGCTCATTTTCTTTTTAATAGGCAAATAAGATCTCTTCCTGGATGTGTTGATAATTCTTTGAAAATTATTCTTCAGTTGACTTCAACTAAAACAATTTGTATTAGAATTCAATGCATATGTGCTTTAGTACTTATTTATATGCCGAAATAGTTTTTGGGTAATATGTAGAATTGAGATTGTTTAAGCATATGTCTGCATATACAATAGAGTAAACTGGCATACAGATGAATGTATGAATGTTGTGTGTGAATTGTTTGCGTGTGTAGATTGATATACCAAACTGATTAATTTGCGTTTACAAGCACACCCAAAAGTTAGGGTTTGCAAGGGGAAGGTAGTGGCAGTGTTAGTGGTATCAGCGTCAATATTTGCACACAATCCGTACATATGCTCTAATTATGATCCTTTTAGTTGTGGACAGTGCCGTTCCACATTATGTTGACATCGATGCCGTGACCTGGAAACAAATACACACAAAACAGAAATACACACACACACACACACACCCCAAGCTGAAGGCGCTGATCAAACACCAATGGACACCAGTTTCCTGTTTCTGGTCTATTTCGAATCAACTAATTATGGTAATTTCCCGCGGAATGTCAACAAATATTTGGTGCCCTTTGGGCAGAGTGTACCCGGAACGGGGCAAGTACATATATATATATATATATTCACATATAAAACGCTGGCCAAGTCGAGCAGTCAAAACGGTTGACAAACGATGTTTACCCGCTGGTCATAACCGTATAACAGTATATGTACTATGTACTTGGTGTATATTGCAGTATGTCGCTGTCCTTGGGAAAACACGTAACGGTCGGATTAATATTAACCAACCAACGAAGGAACTAACTGACCGACTGACTAACTGGACGGCCAAGGTGGGTGTGTAAGCCGATGTCAAAGTAAGAGTACCCAATTCACTTGATTATGTTTGATTTTAGCCGCATATTTCATGCCCCGCTGCATGGTAATTCACTTTTAGCCAATAAATCGTTGACCCGATGGTTTTTTCCTGGGAGCGGCGCCAAGCTGATTACGGGCCACAATATTAATTTGAAGGTAATACGCTTATAATCGAGCTCATTTATCATTTTAATGTATTCGTTTGTGTCCTCGGGGCGAGTCAACCCAACTCAGCCCCTACATTGTTTCTATCGTTTCGCACTCAATGCGATTCATATTCTAAACGCTGCAAATTAGTCTCCAAGATGACACTTCAAGATTGTATTTGTGGCCAGGTGTTATAATCCAAGAATGCGATTTTTGTTAAAAGTATTTGAACTAGAGAAATTTATAGCTTAAATTAAATTTTGTCAATTTTATATCACTTAACTTAACTTTATTTTAACAAATGCTAAAATGTAAGCAAATTGATCATTTGAAATTCGCGAAAAGTGATTGATTTGCAATTGTGAAATTTGCAAAACATCAATCAATGCAATTTTTTGACTTGGACACGTGCAGAACACAATGATATACGATGTAGCTCAGATGGGAACAAAATATAACATTTTGAAGTTTCAATTAGGAAATTAGAATTGCAATTGGAAAGTGGAAATGAAAAGTGCCATATCAAATTTCAGTTAATTTGAAATATTTTTAATTTGAGACAGGTACTTATTTTTTTTAATTTCAAGCCTTTTTAAACTGCAATTTGTCAAGTGAGTGTAAGAAAAGGAAGTAAAGTTAAGTAGTTGGAAAAACCATGAAGAGTCAACTGGAGAAGGATCCGGTCAAGTCTTGGACGGGTCACGAGTGTAAATTAATCATGGCCACAATTTAAGTTAAAAAATGCGAAAAGTACACTCAAAAATGGCGTCAAGTCGTCAATTTGAATAATACTTATGAGCAAAAGGGTACGCCCCAAGGGGTGTCAAAGGATTTGCCGTACCGCAGGACAAGAAGGTGTCCGTTTTTTTCCATGTTGTTGTTGTTGTTGTTGTGTCAGTGTCACTGTCACAGCTCATTTGGCATTCAGAACATGCGCGTCTCTTGCCAATTTCATTTAGCAGCATCATTTCTTCTCGTGCCTCTGTCATTTTTTTGTACTCAGCCTCTGGATCAGAGTAATGGTAAAACAAGATAAATGATTTAAAACTCGACTTTTCATTTCGCATATTAGCAGAGACGTGAGCCATATACAATTTCAATTCAGTTGTCGTGACCAGTAACTATATACACGTATTTAACCCTCGCCTCGGTCCACTCTATAATTGTTTTCTATTAACGAGCCTCGATTTGTTCCATATACAAGCAGGGACCTCACCGACTGACTGACTTTTACACAATTTGCCTTGATCAGAATATCACATTCGTATGAATGCTGACTGCCCCCTGCCGCTTGTAGCTGCCACTTTGTGGACATATGTTGCTTTCATTCGAAAGATATGCGAATGTGTGTGTGAGTATTGCCTTGGGTGACTGTCGCCTGATTATGGTGGCCAGAAATGCGATGGACCATTAAGTGGTTGCAACTTATTGCTGGTATGCCTACTTTACTTTATTTTGCTTACTTATTTATTTATTTTATCTACAAATAAAAATTGTATATTAACAAACCTGGTAATTATGACATATAATATATTTTATTTGTGTTTTATCGAGAATATAAACCCTGAGTTTTCCATCTAAAATTAACATGTTTACATCTGCTCAGCACATTTCTAATCAACACACTCGTAAATTGTATTCATTAATAAATATAAATAAAACTGTATTCTAGGTAACTACCTACATTAATAAGTATGAAGTATTAAAAATCTCCCCTGGAATTGAATAGTTTGGGCAAATAACAACTGAATTCCCGCATTGTTTTTTGTGTGACGTGTGTCGTTAAGTGTTTTCATTAGACTATTTATGAAGTATTTACCATGCCCATAATAAAACAGCGGCATTTCGTCTTAATTAAGTGCTTAGCCAGGCCAAGAA